AACTGTACCTGTTGCTATTTATTGTGTACAGGCTATATTTTCAGACATCTGTCCACTCACACTCTAAACGCTTTCCTTCTGTTAGTCTCTTTTCTATTGTGGAATCGATCTCGAAAAAACCAACGGACCTCTGTACACTTCCGTACAATGTGCTTTCACAGGACCTGGTGCTCGGGTTCGGAAATTACTTCCACATTGCTAGATGTATGACGCTGAACTACAGCACAGTAAAAGCAACAACGCTACTTACAACAACAACAACCTCATCAACAATAACAACGCCATCAACGACAACGGCAAGAAGAACAACAGAAACAACCACAACAAACATACGCTTCCTTTTCTGAATTTTAACCTATGGGGCAAGGATTCTCGCTTCCCAAATGTCAAGTAAGGGGCTGAACTCGTACAAAAAAGAGAAAACTAAAAACGAGAACCCAGACAATTCTCATAACCACCCCCTCCCCCTCCTGTTTTTTCCTTAATTCTGTAAGACACACCCACAGGAACGCTCGGCAGTAGAGAAAGTAATTTCACAGGAGACAAGATCAGCTCTGTCTCAACGGTTGCAAGATTGTGGAGTGCTTTCCATGCCTTATCCGTCATCGATTTGTGGGAGGAAGAAGAAAAAAAAAAAGAAAGGTTTCTAATTCTAGCCCGCCGGTGTTTATGTATTTGTTTGTATACTGCTCTGGGGTGTCGAGAGTACCATTGATTTCCACAGTGCACTCCACTCGACATTGTTTAGTTTACCTGAATATAATGCTGTTGTTCAAGATACAGTACAGAGGGTTAGCCTTGGGGCGAACAGTTAGTGCATCGTTTGGCATTTTAGCACGGTTGGTTAATTAAAGGTCATGTGATAAGGTGAGGTCGTGATATAATATTTCCATATATTAGTTGAGGAGTTGAGGTTCTCTTTGACATGATAAATAGTTTTATGAGAATGCGTGCTGATTATGATTTTTTAAGTGATTGTGTTTTGGTTCTCATTTTATGTCTTCAGGTGATGATGAAAACTGAGCATTAGAATAAAAACCATGCAGGTTACTGTGAAAACAAAAATAAGATCAACCACAAGCATTTCTGACCTCATCTTGTGTTGGTTTTTTCTTTGTAACTATTGCATTTTTGCCTCAACGTAATTCATTTTCCTATAACAAATTATGGTCTTCATAATCATCACTCTTCTTTAAGGTACGGTCGCTATTTCAATATTCCATTAAAACCTTACTTGTCTTGTGGACGGATATATTGTATAAAGATATGGTGTGTCGGTTTACCTTAGTGTAAATGTCCACTTTCCGCTGGTTCTGGTGAGTGTGTCAACATCATTCATGTATCTATATACGTAAATGTATTCTAATTCACTCTCTCTCTCTCTCCCTCTCTCTCTCTC